TGTGTGGGGAGCCTTTGTTTTTTTTTTTTTTTTTTTTTTTTTTTTTTCTGATAAATCACTGGCTGCAGTGCTGTCTGCTGCAGCGCTGGGAGCAGCGTTGTTATTCCGGGCCGCTTGCGGTGCAGACCTTGGCTCCTCGTCCGCAGCGCTGCTCTGCCCTGTAATTGTGGTGCAGGTCCAGCCACAGCCCGGCCAGTGTGATGGGCAGGGTGGAGCAGCGGCAGCTTTTCACCCCCGCCCTGATGCTGGGCTCTAATTTAGGGCTTGAAGCTTTGACTTAAGTGTTTTGGGTTCCTTTTAAGAGGGAGTCAACAAGGGAAATGTTTAGTTGAACATGGCATAGAGGGAATGGAAGAAGAGGGAACAGAGAGATGTGAGGGATGCAAAGAGATGCACCAAGATCTTGCTGGAAGACAGTAGGGCAAGAATAACACTTCAAGTGTTTTGGTTTGGCAATTTAGTTGTTTTAAATGTTCTGATTTTTAGGGACGTTGTTACCTATTTCCCTTTCCTTCCTTCCTTTCCCAACGTTATCCACCCTCCTTTGCCTTGTGGGGTGAGTGTGCGACTTTCTGGGGCAAGGTCTGGCTCTTCTGTGTCCCTGTAGCGTGTCCATATATGTCTGTGATTTGTGGCAGCGTTTTATTTTTACTTTTGTTTGGTGTCTGCATGGGCTGGAGAGCTTCAGGCAGGTTGAAGAGAGAGCTAACATAGGTGTGTGTTGCTTGCTCTTCCAAGAGCTTTGGTTCTCCACAGATAGATTTATTATTGGTGTTTACTAAATAGGGGAGTGTCCAAGTCCTCAAGCTTGAGCTGTGGGCCAGGCAGTCCTGTCTGTCTTGCCATGAAATGAGCACCAGGGCTCCTCTTGGCCTCGCTGGGATGTGATCAAGTCCCTCTAGCCTTCCTTCAGCTCCTTAAGCTGGTGTGAAAATTGCAATTAGGCATGCACATCGAGTAGCTGGATGTCATCCTCATTTGCATGTAGGATTGCTGGATGGATGTGCAAATTTGGGTTAACTTAAACTTTTTGCTAAGTACACAGTTGGGAATACAAATAATCTATGGGCTGTCTTAGGAAAATTGGCCATATTTGATTATTTATAGCTTCATCGATAGATCTTTTACTGCGTACTTGTTTCTTTAGTACAAGTTAAAGATTCTCAACTGGTGCTAATCAGCACGGTTCCATTGAGATCCTCAGAGTTTTGCTGATTTACAGCCGCTGACAGGGTCACTCCCTCGTAGATGGAAGTAGCCTCATATGACTAAAAGAAAAGACAGAAGAGAAAAATAGAATGACCCAGATGACTGAACATGTATGGAAATGTATTTATCTTCCCACATTTCTACCTCGCTGACCTGAGCTATGAAGTTTCTTATACTTTTTTAATAGGTTTTAACATACCCAACTAAACATTGATTCTATTGGAGCATTGCAGAGACTTTTATCGCTCGCTTGAAAATTGCATATGGCAGTCCCTGGAAATATGGGGGCTGGGATGTAAGAAGAGGGAATTACTAAGAAAAGTCATGTGCGCTTACAGATGCGCTTCCACAAAATTTGCCATAGCACTGGGATGCCTACGTGCTCAATGCCTGTCTGTCAAGATAAGGAGCCTTTTGTGTCGTGAGATGTACCTTTACAGCCATGGCTACTGATGTATGGACATGACTAAAATGATGCTATAGAAGTTTATTTTTATTTTTTCTTCTTGTAGGGACCACCTGGTCGCCCAGGTCTTCCAGGAGCAGACGGTTTACCGGGACCACCAGGGACGATGCTTATGCTGCCTGTAAGTACAAGTGTAACTACAAAAAACATTTAAATGAGTCGAGCTTCTTGGCTTTGCTACCGTTTAGTGCCTGTTCTTGCAGAAGTCTCCCATTTCTTTTACACCAAGGACACATTTTCCTTAGTATAAAAGTTGGATCCTGATGGTTCCCCTTGTAAAGCTACTTTTTGCAAAGCACTGTAACTTCTTCACTAGTTAAAAGCACGGGGCAGGTAGGTTAAAATTTCCAGAAGTGATGAATAAGCTTAAGTATATCTGACTGGGTATGGTGATGGAGAGTGAAAGTCATGAAGAAGCGACTGAAGACACCTCCAAGGGACAAATTTCCAGGCAGAACCCTCCCTCCTACAGTGAGGAACCTCTAACAGCTCTTTAAAGCAGGTGCCAAAATTGTAAGCACCTGAATGAACTGGTTTCTTTTGATGACCAGTGGTTAATTTGCATTGTTTTTTTTCCTCATACATGAAGCTAGCAAGTACCGAGTTAGCCTTCTTGGTCCTGCGATGCTAAAGGAGTGGTTGTATTTTGTGTCTGCTTTGATGTGAGAAAACCCTAAGGAAACCAGCTGCCGAAAATGAGTGGTTAGGTACCAAAGGGAAAGAGTCTTTAGCGAAAAACCGCAGCACTCTTGTACAGGCTCCAAATGGTAGGGTGATACTTGTGTAGGTTCCTGGCAGGGTGCCTAGGACAGCCTGGGCCAAGTGCTCAACATGGAGCTTAGCTGGCCATTACAATACATTTGTTGGCCCCTACAGTAACCAACCGTAAGCCTATAAATTGCATCTCTTTGAATATGCTTGCCAGGTTCGTGTGGTCATATACCTAGTGCCAACCAAGTGAAATGCAGAGGTGAAATGGAGGTGAAAGAGCCATCCAAGTAGGTTCTGCAGCCTGGAGAGTTCTTCTTGCAAAACCCCAACCACACATGTAATTAAGGCAGGAGAAGGGTGTGTGTCCTGGAGAGTGTGCTTGTAGCTGTTGGGGGTGGAAGAGGCAGAAGAAAACATTAAACTCCTTCCCTTTCAAGTTTGGGGAAATAAAACATTAATACTTGGAGTTTTTTTAAAATCCTTTGTGTGCTGAAGGATCCTGGCTTGAACAATAAGCCAAACTCTGTTCTTTGAAGCACACTGGCACAGTTGAGAAATATAGCCTTTGTCCTGGGGCAAACAGGCAGCTACAGCCAAATAACCTGATGCAACCCCATCTCTGGGGGTCTCCTGGCCAACAGCATCCGCATGGGGAATATCAGCCCTGTGAGAACTTTGCATTTAGTTTTGAACGGTGGTGTGTGAGGTCCTTACAGTTCAGAGCCTACAATCCCTCTCATTGTGCGTTACTTTGAGCCGGCACAATTCGCTGTGCGGGTACGGACATGGGAAACAGTCAGTTTGTGCCTGTGAGCTGGGTGACCTGAGAGCACGATGGTTAATAGGATGGTCTGGAAGGACAGCGATGGGGTTGGGTCAGTCATGCTGAACAGAGTTGTTTAAGAGTCAAGCTAGCGTGAGGGTGGAGGGACAAGCAACCCTGTGACCTGCTTTCTACATCTTGTTCCCATCAGTTCCGCTTTAGTGGAGGAGGAGATGCTGGCTCTAAAGGACCTCTCGTTTCAGCCCAGGAGGCCCAAGCCCAAGCCATCCTGCAGCAGGCGAGGGTAAGTGAAGGGTGGCGGGGATGTCTCTTGCAGCAGATGCTTGAGGAAGCAGAGGAAGACCAGAATAAATGTGTTGGAGCAGATGTCTTCATCCTTGCACCATCCATGGTGCTGGCGGTGGCAACAGCTTCTCATCTGAGATGGAATTGCTTGTGTGGGTTGCGGTGATGACACCTGGATGACTTGGCCTTTTACTAATGGCCAGCAATAGGCCAGGACCTAGAAACATGGTTTTAAATTGTCTACAGACCTTGGACCAGGCCTTCTGCTGGTGCTAGTAGGCATAGACCTGTTGGCTTCAGCAGCGTTTGCTGTTTATGCTGATAGTTTTGAGAGTCTATAGGAACAGTTCTGGTATGTGCTGTAGAGGTTTTCTTTCTTTCTTTTAGGTTTTTTTTGCTTGTTTTTTCCAGTAAATCATAATAATTAAATGTATGTCACAGATGTAAGCTGTTCCCAGCTCCATGAATCTCAACAGGCAGACTGCAATTTTCTTTTTTTTCTTGGATGACCTTATTGATTGATGGTCAAATAATCCCTGGCGGTGTTTATTATGTAGGCTCACTGGTGAAACAAGGTCGGCCGTGCACATTCCCAGTACAACTGTTCCCTGCCTAGATGAGTACCTTAGTGTATAAGGCTTCATACTCATCTGTTTAAAAAAACCCTTAATTTCTAGCCAGTACAGCTTTGAAATTTTTATTCCATGAGTGCTTGTGTGAAGCTACATTTGATCATTGATATTTTAAAAGCAGAGGTGCAAGAGGCACAATTGCAGCAGAAGGGAACATGTAGGGACCCCACGAGTGCCCTCCTGCTGCGTTTGCCTTGATCTTGCCCAGGAGGGACCAAATTCTGGCTGTAAGCAGACCCTTGCAGTAAAGGAGAAAATATAAGATAATTCAGGGAGGCAGTTCGCAAAGGGACACAGCTTTGGGAGCGTTGCTCCTCTCCCTGTCAAATGCAGTCATCCAAGGACAGAGCTTAGGTGTGCTCCTCAGGTCCGAAGCCCACATCTGTCTGCAGCTGGGATGCGTGGCTCGGATGTAGCCAGTCTGTTATTCAGAGCTGTTGGCAGTCGCTTTAGCACAGACTTTGGGCTGGTCTGCTGAAATAGGCTAAAAAGCAATTTATTTCATCCTTGAATGAAATACAGTCCATTGGGGTTTCCACCCAGCTGCGTGGCACATGCCCCTGTTAGGTTTATAATGAGGGTTTTGGCTTGGCTGGGGCTATTCTGGTTTCCATCCAACTCCCCTTTTACAAAGGAGTTTGATTTTATACATATTCAGGTGGAGTACAGGGCCCTGATGCCACCAGCCACTGCATTTTCCTGTCCATTAACCTTGCTCTGAGAACAATATTGGTGGATTATGTTTCTGGTGTTACCTTGTCAGTCTTAATTTTAAGGCTGCCTACAGTTTTTCCATCAGCATTTTATTTTGCTGGGAAATAGGGGTTTTGAGCAGATGAACATTTCATGAGAAGCGTCTGCTTTCTCAGACTCTCTCTGGTTTTGTTCTTTTTTTTCTGCCTCTTGAAAATTGTGACTGTTATGAAAAAACAACGAACCACCCTTCCCTCACTCAAAGTCCCTTCTCTCTGTTTTTTTAATTTTCAGTTTTTGGGAAAAAATTTGAAAAACAAGCAAATCCTGGGTGACTTTTGGGCTGTGGATGTAAAGTTAAATATTTCCATAAAGGAAAAAATCCTTTTCTTGGTTAACTTTAATGTATTGTCAGACAATTTCAGCTGAAAACCCTGACACCAAAGCACAAAGGGAAATAAATGACTTTTTTTTTGGTGGGGAAGTTACAGGAATATGGCAGGAATGGAAAAGGAGTCCTGCAGGGGGGAGGATATCTTCTTTCCTTTTCTGCAGTTTGTTTTTCTCGTTATCATGGTTGTTAATTGCATTGTTAGGTTGATTTATTCCCTTAAAATTTGGCTTTCATTAGACACCGAACATTGTCCCAGCCGGCAGTGTTTCAGAGCATCTCCCTTTTAATGGGGTGTTGTAAAAAGATGCCACATAATCTAGCATTTGTGCAATATTTATGCCATTGCAAGTGCAGCCACGGGTAGATTTTAATTACTGGAGTACACAGATAATTACAACTCTCTTAAAGTGTTGAACTGTCACAAGGGAACAAATTGTCCGAATGATGTTTTAAAGTGTGGACCAGCCCCATCACCCACCATGGAAATTACTGACTTGATGCATCGTTACATGACTCCTTAATTATTGCGCTAAAAGCCCCCTGTTGCAAACAGAATTGTTGTTCAGTTTGCAGGATATTAAATAGTAACCAAAAAAAGGAAAAAATTCCTCCAATATTGAACTCCTAGGATCACAAAGAAAAAAAATCCACCTAAACTGAACTGAGATCATAAATATGTGAACAACCCCCTATAGCAAAGTTTTGATGTTTCCCTTCAATAATTTATTGCCAAAAGCGTCCATTTTATTGTTGTCTGTATGTGATGATGGAAAAGGGGATCTGACCTGCAGAGGCTGATTCTCACCTGGTTTAGATGCAGGTAACTCCTCGCCCCTCCATCTGCCCTGGGGCTGGGCCGGGGTGTGCCTATACGCATCTATACAGGGGTTCTGTACTTCATGTGTACGGTGCGGGGTGGGTGTATGGGGGGAGGATGCCTACAGGCGGACGAGGTGTAGGTCCGTGTGTCCACATGCAGACCCACGCACCACCCGTGGGCTTTGCCCGTTTCTGGATGCAGAAGGGAGTTGGTGGGGCAGCAGGTTGGATGCTCTTGGGTAAATTCACTGAGGGTACAGACGTTGCTCTGAGGATTTGTGGTTCTTGGGGCGTGGAGAGAACGTGTGGCTGGTGGCGTGATGGTGGCTTTGTCCCATTGCAGCAATGAAGCAGAGACACCAACTGAGCAATGTCTGTCTTTCTGTTGCAGCTGGCGCTGAGAGGACCAGCGGGTCCAATGGGTCTGACGGGGCGGCCGGGCCCCATGGTAAGTGAACGGGCAAGCAAGGATGGAGCAGACCTAGCTGGTGCTGGCTCCGTGGATGCTCTGGGTTACCTGCATGAATGGCTCTTTCTTAACATTGTGTGAATCTTCCTGCTGGCTCTGTTATGGCAAAATGTAATAAATCATGTTCTCTGTCCAAAGGGACCCCCGGGCAGTGGAGGACTAAAGGGAGAAGCTGGAGAAATGGGACCTCAGGTGAGTATGGGCAAACCGGGCAACTGGGAGGGATCTGGGGGAAGTGAAGGCATGGAGAAGCCAGTCCTGCTTTAGAGGCTGTTGTGAAGGAGCGATTCACTAACTCAATGCCAGCTGAAAGTAGGAAGGTGTGGAAACATCCATTTTGCATATAAATGTCCCTTCGAATATCCAAATGCAGACTCAAGGCATAATTTAAGCCAACAGTCTAAAATTCTGCAGGTGCGGTAGTCCTTTCCTGCAAAGACATCCGCGGAGGAGTCCTGTAAATATGAGATAAGTTGGAGTGTGGGGAGTTTGCTAACACCCAGGAAAATGTTCTTCCAATGCCAACATCCTGCGTTAAGGAAAAGTTCCCGTTTTCTAATGGTGGGGGAAGTGATTTGTCTCCACCAAGGGGAGCTGCTCGCAGGGCAAAGGCTTCCTTGTGAATGAACGCGTGCGATTCCTGTCCAGAGATGCTCAGTCCTGAGCCTTGCCCTTGTATTTTGAACCACGGGCTCTGCTTGAGGGGTTCACGTCCCATTTTGTAGCCCTGGTGACCCTCACGGCCCCAGCAGCGCCTCATCTGCGATGCCAGCAGACACTGGGTCCATCTGTTGTGCCTTTGGGTGATGGCTTTTCTTCCTCTCTCCTTGATGTCTTGCAGGGTCCACGAGGCATCCAGGGTCCTCCCGGTCCGGCAGGAAAACCAGGCCGCAGGGTGAGTGTCCTGGGAGCTGTGCTGATGACCGCATTAACTCCAATTTCTGCTAGAAATCCTTTCTACTGCCAAACAATTTCTGAGCACCGAGAGCGTTGCACAAGAGCCAGGCTGGCAGCCAGCCGGTGGCTTGTCCAGGGCCCCTCCGTCCATCTGGGCAGATGCAAATGAGGATGAGAGTTAAAAGCTGGGTGGTGTGGGGAGAACTGCAAGTCCAGGCTTCCCGCTCTTTTGTCGTTCTGCGGTGCTGAGGTTGTAGCTGCATCAACGCTCCGGGCTGGTTTGGACAGTCCCCAAGTCTCAGTAGTATGCAAGGAGGATCCAGTGCCCGGAGGGTTTCTGGAGCTGGTATAAATCCTGCTCACTCCCCAATCCTGATTTTTATTTTACTCCATTCTCTGGCTCATCGTGATTTGGCTTGCTAGAAGAAGAAACAAGAAAGTCTTTTGTGTGACCCACTTCTGACTCTCTTAAAAAAAAAAAAAAAAAAAATCTCATTTCAATTTGTGGATGCCATCATTAGCATATCTTAAAATGTGCTGGAAGATAATTATTTCAAATTAAAATCAATGACCATGTCCCAGCATCCCATGTAGCGAAGCAGCTTCGCTGCCGTTTGTCTCACACCCCTCATTAGCGCCAGGCTGAGCCCGGGATGCTGCTTCAAAAGCAGACCAGCATTTTTTCCCTCGCCAAGGGAAGCTGCTCCCCAGCTGGCGAGCTTTGACTTAAATAAAACTTCACTCGGCCACAGACCAAAAAGCAGATGTCCCTGCGGTCCTGCCTTACCCTTTGTATATGACTTTGTTTTTCTCTGTTGCAGGGACGAGCTGGCAGCGACGGTGCCCGGGGAATGCCAGGCCAGACAGGACCAAAGGTAGTGCCACGTATTTATGTGCTTTTGGAATCTGTCTGCTTTTTAGCAAGCACGAACTGAGGGACCCTTGGCAGAAGGAGCCCACCTTGCTTGGAGGAGGTTGTTGAAATGGCCCAGCTACTCCTGTGAAGTCATGGGCTCCACGTTTGAGAGAAAGCAGCGGAACACACACCTAGAAGGCAGAATAGCGATCTTTCTCTTCTTTTCCCTTTTAAAAATTTTTTTTATGCAACTGTTTTAAATTGCTGGATCCTCTTAAGAATGAAATATGCTCCCTTGGCTGTGGTTGTAGAACAAATACTTTGGAATCCCAATTATGAAAAACAAACATGAATGAACAGTTGGAAACTTCCTAAAATATAACTACCAAAAAAAATTACCTATTAACTGGGTGAGGAAATGTAGAAGGCATGGTGAGGAATTTTAATGCCCTGTATTTTTATTTGAGACAAAATCCCTTCATTCAGCTGTGATCTGCTGGTATTATCAAGCAAGAAAGAAGCTGTTCCACTGAAATTGAATGCAGAGAAAGTTTGCTCAGGGAATCATGTATTAGAAGGTGTAAGTACTTTATTATGTAGATACTTAAAGCTGGAATAGATGGGGAGTTTTGATACAGAGACAGGAGACTGCAAATCATTTATCCAGTAAAGTGCTTTAATGAGCGTCGACTGCCCTCAAAGGAGTGGATGCCAGGGAAGAAGGAGAAACAGAATAACGAGCAGTGCTGAGAAGGAGAAGATTTGCTGTGAGCAGAGACAGAGCGATGCTCTAGGACCTGCCAGAAGGAAAGAGCTGTTTTACCCCGGGTGCACCTCGATCTGTCCTCCGATCTGCTCAGGTGTAATCGACTTTCCTTTCCTTGCTGATAGGTAAAGGATTTGTGGAAGGGAGGAGGTGGTACTGCTGGTACAAAGGGGCTTCACCTCTTTGCAGAGAAAAAGGGACTTTTCTATCTACTGGATGGTGCTCACTGCCTTCTGCCCTGGGTGTTAGGAGCTGGTGTCACCCACGATTTGCAAACGCCCCTGTGTCTTCTCTCTTTTCTAAAGAGTTGAGGCTTTTGGGAAAAGGCTGTCTCTGTGCATTCCTGTCCCCATTTTCCCCCAGAACACAGGAGACTGGAACAGGGCACAAGGTTGGAGAGAAACCCTGTTGCAGCTTGCCGTGGTTCACTATGAGCTCTCTCTACATACCGACCCAGAGGAGCTGCATGGGCACGGGTGAAAGCCCTGGGAAGGCAGGCTCCTGCTGCCCGCCTGCTCTAGGACTAATGGGGTTTGCTTTTTCGTCCTCACACTTGAATTTCTCAATGTTGCCTGTTTTCTTTGGGAGCATCCATGGGCCTGGGCAGGGGACACGAGGAGCCCACTTAAGGGATGTTCAGATGGTCATTTGCAGGCAGATGCTGGAAAGCGCTGCCTGTGCTCTGCCAGCGCGAGGTTGCATGACTTTCTCAACACGGTGCCAAGCACAAATTAACACACCCGGCCTTTTAGCAGAGCTCATTATTTTGTGCTTGGCATTGTGCTCCCCAGAAGGATGCCCAGAGCTGCATTTACAGCAGTAGGCAGTGGCAGGAGCTACCGGAGATGTGCAAGAAGAGAGGTATGCTGGGAGCTATCCTTGCCTTGGTTTGCCTTCCCAGTATCAGTAGTTTGGGGCTATATATCCCCTATACATCCCTGGTTTCACAGCTGGCTTTGTGCCTGCTCAGGCTGGGGTCAGGCAGAGCAGTCTGCTCTTTGCAGGGTAGCGTGGAGATGCCCCTTTTGCAATACCCTTAAGCATCCATGTGAAGTCACCAAATTTACCAGCCGATGACATTCCTTTTTAGGTCAAAACAGATCTGTCTTCTGACCTTGACTTCATTAAGACAGTTTCCAGAATTAATTTGTATATATGTTTCCTTGGAGTGTCCAGGAGGGTTGAAAGGATGTATGGGATGATTGCAGTGAAGCTCAGGGTGGTGTTTGGGGACCCATTGGCAGGTGTGGGAATACTGGTGTCCAGTTTGCTCACCAGTGGATTGTCATTTGTAATTCCATGGGATTACAAATAAATAAATGGACTAGAAGAACCTGTCCAGAAGGTGCTTTAGGTCATGAAGTCATCATCCAGAGAAGCTCTGAAATCCACATGGAAAAACACTTAAAACTGTAGGTGCTGGGGGAAGAGAGAGGAGGTAAAATGACTTTTAGCTTTTTTCTTTTTTTTTTAATCTATAACTTTGAAATCATCATTGGTCTGATGGGAGGTGAAGGCTGAATGTCTGAGGGAGAAAATCAATCACTCCTTGACACAGAAAGGAAACAAATTGGAAAGATATTCAACAGCAGGTGGAAATGTGTACTAAACTGGTTTTTCTTTTAGGGTGACCGAGGGTTTGATGGCTTGGCTGGCTTGCCTGGTGAGAAGGGAAACAGAGTAAGTTATCTTCTACTTGCCTTCTGGCCATGGTCTGTAATGAAACCTTGGCAGGAGGAGGTGGCTGGGAGGAGGGCAACTGTCGCTGGGGATGAGCCACAATGGTGCAATTAGGAGAGGATGAGGGTGTCCCATGAGAGCATGTGGGATGTCACAACGTCCCTCCCAGGCACAGCATTCGCATCCCAGGAAGCTGCAAGGTCCTGCTGGGACTGCTTGAAATTGGAAAGGGGAGAAAAAAATTACCTTAATAAAATGCAGACTAAAAAACCAAAGCAAGAAGCAAAACCTGCTTTTAGACAGCGCAGTTGTGGATGGAAGTTGCCAAAAATTATAATGGGATTCTTCTCTTTGCTTTGCAATTAAACAATGGGAAAAAAAATGCAAGAAGCCGGTTATTTTGGCAGGCTGTTCGTGCCTCCCCTCCCTAGAGAGTGCAGCCATTGCTTTATACAGCAAGGGAATGTTTGAACAGCGGAGATTGCATCGTGATTACAAGCTACACAGGAAAGGGAAGGCCATGCCTGAGAGAGATGCTTAATCAGCCAGAAATGGAATAGCATGCCTTGGGTAAAGCAGTAACTGTGTGCAGAGCCCGAGTCCCTCTCCTGAAGGAGTTACGGTGCCTGCTTGGTTCCTAGACCCTGCTGAAGCGTCACCAGTAAATCCCGTGAGCTCTAGCCCCTGGAGGACATTAGGCTGTCAGTGCTGGAGCCCACGCGTGGCCCTGAGCGGGTAGGGGAGGGCTGCTGCTTCAGAGAGCACAGGGAGATGGGAACCATGCATGTGGTGCAGACAGAGAAGTCAAGCCTCTTGCTTGGTTTTGCAACGTTACCCAATGTTTTCTCGTCCCAGAGTGTCTCTACCTTCTCTGAAGCTTTTCTGTTGTTTCTTTATAGGGTGAGCCAGGCCCCCATGGACCCCCAGGGGCACCCGGAGAGGATGGGGAGAGGGTAAGTCTATCTCTGGATTCAGCAGTCTTTTGAATTCATAACTAACTCCTGTAAACAAGAAGCAGATGCAATATCAGCCAGAGACGTGGCAAGAGCAGCCAGCACCGGCATGTCGAATGCTGCCGGTCAGCAGCGGCAGCACCCCGTCCTCATGTCCTGGGGGTGCTGCGGGTGGCCATGGTGAGAGGGAAGCAGAGCAGGGGGATGGGAATAAAAGCGAAAAGAAGAATTTGTTTTTAAACACCTGGTCAGCAAACTCAGTTTTTATTAAAAGGAAAAAATAACACAAGAAAAATGTTCATCCTCTGGGTGTGCAAACTATCACTTCTGATTTTCTAAGATCCAGCAAATTGCAGCAAGACTTGGGAAAAGAAATTCCAGACAGATGTAGGAATCGGAGATTAAATTGTTCACTTCTTCCACACTGTTTAGTCAATAGTCAAAGGCCTTTAGCAAAGCTCAAACTAAGTGATTACTGGTTTAGAAGGGCTGGTTTAAGAGGAGAGATTGAAAATGCTGAATCTGTGGCTGTGAGGAGCATGTGGTTTTATCGGAGGAGCAAGTATGGATTTCCCAGGCTCTAATCCCCTTCTGCGATGTTTTCTTTCCACCTATGGCTATTTGTTTCCTCTGTAAAGCACAGATAATAACACCTTCCTCACTGTGAGGTTGTGAGGATTAATTAGTTGCAGCTGTAAAGTGCTTTGAAGTTGAAAAGACCAAACCTGTGTCTTGCGGGAGAAGAACGAGTGTCTGGAGAACTTTAATCCTAAAGAGAAAAACCATTCGAGGTGTGCGAGGAGAGAAGCTCAGAGTGCGTAACTGGGAAGAGCATGAATTTTATCAGCAGGAGGGTTTACAAGGGCTGGCTGCTGGGATTGATTTCCTAAGAGGGAGCCTCAGGTTTTGAGTGATTTAAAAGCAACTCAGAGGAAGCACCATCTAATACTCCTGGGGGATCGGTGGGGCATCAGCAGGAGGTAGGAGTGGAGGGGTGAGCCATTACCCCTTTGCTGCCTCTGGTTTATCTGAGAAGCCTGTGGGCTAATTTGGCTAAATCACATTCCCAGGGCGGTGCTCCCATGCTGGCTTCCTATTCAGTTTAGTACTAAATCTTGCAGTTATTGACTTGCTATGCCCTGATTTGTTTTTACAATATCTTGTCTATTAGCAAAATCCATCTTTATAAACATCGATGTGAATTATGAAGTATCCTTACAGCATGTCTGACTGTGCTGGTTTTGGTTGGGGTAGAGCGAGTTTTCTTCATGGTAGCTAGTATGGGGTTATGGTTTGGATTTGTGCTAGAAACAGTGTTGATAACACAGGGATGTTTCAGTTATTGCTGAGCAGTGCTGACACAGAGTCCAGGCCTTTTCTGCCTCTCACCCCGCCACCAGCGAGCAGGCTGGGGGGCACATGGAGCTGGGAGGGGACACGGCCGGGACAGCTGCCCCCAGCTGCCCAAAGGGACATCCCACACTGTATGGCGTCATGCTCAGCAATAAAACTGGGGGGAAGGTTGGCTGGGGGGCCGCTGCTCAGGGACTGGCCGGGCATCAGTCGGTTGGTGGTGAGCAATTGTTTTCACTTGCATCATTTGTCTTTCTCGGGGTTTATTTCTCTCTCTTTGTTGTTTTCCTTTTCATTACATCATCATCGTCATTATTATTATAATATTTCAATTATTAAACTGTTCTTATCTCAACCCATGAGTTTTCTCACTTTTACCCTACCAATTCTCTTCTCCCATCCTGCTGGGGGGAAGTGAGGGAGCGGCTCTGTGGTGCTTCGTTGCCGGCTGGGGTTAAACCTCAGTAAATTCTGCACACGCAGTATTAGTCTCCAGGCTTACGAGGTCTTCCTTATGCATGGCTACCCTTTTATTACTCCAGGGAAGCTGGTTTTCTGTGTGATTATTATTTAACAAGAATGAAACACCTGTGATGTGACTGAAATATAACTGGTTTGTTCTGTCTCTTTTGCTGCTTCTCTCTGCGGCTTTGCTGCTGAGCAGGGAGACGATGGAGAAGTTGGACCCAGAGGTCTGCCTGGAGAACCCGTGAGTATCTCCTCCTTTGGCTTGATGTACAGCAGCACTGCTTTGGTCAAGGTCTTGATATGATAACTGTGTTTTTAGAGGTCCGGTGGGGCAGCTCTTCTGGTGCTAAGCAAGACCCCTGAGGTCCTCCAGGGACTGAGCTTCCCTTGCTTTGAAGATCCATGTGAATGGTTTAGAGAGTTATCTTTGCTGTAACAACTCTATTTTCCTTTTTTTTTACTAAGATGGCTACCAAAAAGAGAAGATGCTTTCTGTTTGTTTTTTGTTTGTTTGTTTGTTTGACAGGTTTTCTGTGTTTTGTTTTTTTGTTTGGCTTTTTTTTATTTTTAAATGAGCAAATTTCTCATTGACTTTCTTTGCTCACTGGCTAGTCTTTGAAAAAAATGTAATTGTAAATTTAGCTTAGCTTAGATTGGTCTCATACCTTTCCCACATGTGTCCTTCCTGATGTGTTATTTAGGATTCAGGTAAGTAGGCTGGGGTAGAAATTATGCATGGTAAACATATGTGAAATACAGTTTTCGTGAGTGTTCATAGCAAACTCCAGCGAGGAATGGTTTTGTCTGCTGTTGCATGGTAATGGCAGCAATTAGCTGTGCAGCTCCCTTGCCTGCACGCTTGGTTTTGTGCAGTGCGAGTAATCCCTTTTCAATCTCAGGATGAAATCCTGGCAGGGTTGAGCTCAAGGGGACTTTTAGCCCTGTCTTCAGCGGGGTCAATATTCTTTTCACAGTGCACAAAACTTAATAAATCGGCAGGGTTTGTCAGTTTGGGCCTCCACAGGCTGCTAACACTGGAGCAGCTCAACCAGGGCTAGCGAAGGAGGGAGTTCCCAGTATCAATAAGGTTAAAAGGAGATGCTAGCGTTGTTGGACAAAAATCTCTTGACTAACCCAAAGAAATGCTTTCGGGGAGTATCCCACTGAAAAGAAGCAGTTGGATTGTCAGTTTGAGACTGACAGCATTTTTTCCCCCCGGTACTGAGTATTTTTTACTTCACTGGCAATGGTGAACTCTGTTTCTGGCTGTAGATTTTTGTGTGCCGTACAGTTGCTGGCTGCTTATTTCATCCCCAATGCATTTCCTTTGCTATGAAAAGAACATTAACTATCTGTCATTTGCCATCGGCTTTGCTTTCAAAATGTCTTATTTTGTTGTTCTAAGGCCCAGTGTGGTGGCCCGAGAGTAATTGATGAGACCTGTTGGACACCCTTCATGTGAGAAAGGGAAGGGTTGGCATTTACAGACTCACTGGAAGTAAATTATAGATGAGATGTCTGATTAACTTCTGGGGAAGATTAATCAACTCAGCTATCTCCTTAGCACATGTCTAAGCAATAACTTATAGTTATTAACTTCTTAAAAGTGTTTATGTGCTCAGGTAACACTGTAACAAAAGAGGAATGTAAACGATGATAATGCATGCAGGGATGTTTATTTTTATTTCAGCAACACAAATAAATATATCTGCCATGGCCAGAGTAAATGTTTAAATTGCATTACAGGAAACTTTTTGTCATAAATATATACACCCTAAATCTGCATGTTTGCTTCTTTCTCTGCCCTGAGCCAAAAGAGAGTCTTACCAAATTTAATGGTAATCGAAACTAGTGGTGGGGATTCCAAAATTTCTTCGTCTTCATCCTGCTCCATTTCCTTCCATTTCCCATTGCCAGTTGATACCAGCAGAGTTTCTGCTCTGTTGGGGCTCAGTGTGCAAAGCTTTAGCCCGTGAAGGTCTCCGGCGGCTGGGACAGACCGCCCAGTTGATGCATCCAGTTTGTGCTGCAAACTGCATTTTTTTGCAGGATCAAAATCCTCGTACCCTCCAAGATCATTCACTTCCTTAATGTCTCCTATTTTATCCTGTAACATTTCATTTTAATTCCTCTGTCCTCTCTGCATCATAAAAGGGGACATACAATATTTGGGCAGACAGATAAAACTGCCTGCTGATCAAGAACCATTTTCCTCTGTGAGAGTGAACGAGCCCCATCCTTGTAAATACCCAGAGTCCCCTGTGGTCCCTAATTTAAGAAAGTGCCTGCATTTAACAGGTGAGCTTTCAGATCTGCAGCTGAATGCCCACAAAACCCATCCCTTTCCTTTCACTACAAACCCACCTGAAGGCTCAAGGTAGAGGAGGTGCCAGGGTGTGATTTGCAAAGCTTCCCATTGAATGAATACAATTCTCCTGGCATGGCTCTGCCTATCAACGTGGTGCTCCAGTCCTACCAGTTTCCCTGAATATGATGCAAGGTTAAATCTGGTGAGAAAGCTAGAAATGGAAAGAAAACACCATGATACCAGGAGTCCTGACTGATTAAGGTTTAAGAACCAAAAGTCTTTGAAAATGTACATTTATGCTGCAGGCTGAAAACGTTTTCCAGCCTTGCTGAGTTGTATAGATTGTCAATGATAAAAATTAACTCTGGAGCGATTCTGAAATGCTAACCCTAATGATCTGTTAGCAGCATCAGGTCATTCTTCATAATACTCCCCAGCTAGAATGACTTGGCTGCAAAGTGTTTTGCATCAGTGTGCATTACAGGGTAATCCAGGAATATGATTAAATTAATTAAAAAAAAGTTGGTTTAAGTGGGCCTTCTTCCAATCCAAAGAATAAATGCCTGTGCCTATATTATTTATCTTTATAACTCAAGGATGTGTGCACACAGGATTGCTCTTACTGGTTTGTAAACCAAGAAAGCTGCTGTTACTGCCAAACCAGCAAGGTCATTGCCGCGCCAGCCCCGACGCATCCCTGGGCAGAGCGATGCTCAGCCATGCACGAGCTCACCCCGATCCATGCTCGTGGCAGCGTGGGGGAGGACTGGAAACACTAACCCCGTTTGTTTCCCCCAACAGGGACCCCGAGGACTGCTGGGACCGAAGGGGCCGCCGGGACCCCCAGGGCCACCGGTGAGTTCCCAGGGCTGCTGCCCTCAGGCAGTCAGCTGATCTTTCTGGGCAAAATACCCTGTCCCCATTAGTCATTCAAGCAGATAATACAGATGTATAATTTTATACATCTGTGCAATGAAAAGAAGTGGTATTAAAAAAAAGTTATGGCTCAAAGTCCATATTCTCCCCCATTTTCAGTGGTGTCACGTCCATTTACGGCAGCTCAAGATTTGGCCCACCTGAGTAAATATTAATGCCTTGCTCAGGCTGAAAGGGAAGAATGAGAGTTATTAACACAGTGGCTTTGCTATTAACTTTTGCCTGAGGGCTGGTGAGACTTTAAAGCAGTTTGTTCATATTTCGGGTGAAAGCCAAGGAAAGAATGTGCCATTTTTTATTCGGGAGACAGTCACCTTATCTGTCGTGTGCTGCTGGAAGTGCTGATGCAGGGGCTCTCTCTGTAAATCACTGCAGCTTGCTGAAGTCCCAGAACTTAAAAACCGAAACCCAGGCTGCTGCTAGAGCTAAAGGGGTCAGCATTTAATGGTGAGCGTTGTGAAACCCTTAGCCCCTCCTGGGACACGAAGACATCTTCACTCTGAGCTCCTAGTCCTGCT